AAAATATTTTTTTATGGCGTTTTCATTCATTCTATGGAACCTTAATATTTTTGTCGATATTATTCTCTGAGAATATCATAGAACGTCTTTGTATAAAGCAAGGGATCAAATTGCCCTTTCTGCGTTCGGGTGGGATGAGTCCTTTGAGGATAATTATGATTTCATGAACTATAATGTTAATATAATTCGGCATTTTACGCCACAACCACATCTGAAGTAATCTATGTCATACGTAGAATTATAATACACAATCTCATGTTCAGCCGCAGGTGTTTTGTAATCAAGGAAGGCGCATAATAGATGTTAACTTCAATACATCGACATAGAGGGAATAACACCCAAGTTTGTTATTTTTGTTATCGTTCAATACTTTTCGTAACACCACCTAACAAGAAAAAATAGTATAAACAAGAAATACTTTTTCTCGAGATAGTGACAGTGAACTGCAGAACTAACGTTCGCCACACGTAAGATTGGCTTTTTCGTTCTCTCTTTGGTAGTGTTAAGTTGTTACAACAGAACAGGAGTACGGAAAAGCGAAAAAAATGGAAAAATTCAATTCAAGCAATTTTCAAGCTTGCCATTGGCCAGGTATCTCTTGTGTTGCGAAGAGACTCGAGACTGACTCGCACCCACAGATCTCAAGGCCCAGAAAGTTCTCTGCAGGAAAAGGATTTGGGTCCACAACGTAATTCTACTCGGAGGAACTTCCAAAATTTCCTGGGCGCTGTGAATGGGGAGAACTTTCCGTGTCCGGGAGGCACGTACTCGGCCCATTAGCAGGTCACGTGGTCACGTGGCGAGCACCTCGCGGAGCGCGGTCACCTTGGGCCCTCAGCCGCGGGGAATCCCGGCAAGTGACGTCATGGCGGCCGCCGATGATCAGCGGGAGAATGGGCGTTGGGCGGTCGCCGCCCCCACCGCCACCGCCACCGCCAACACGACGCCGCTATCCCCGTTGCCTCCTCTCCGGCCTCGTCTCTGTCCCCGCATTAGTCAACGCCCCCGCGTTAGTCCCTTCCGCCTCATCCATGCCTCCGCCTCCGCCTGCGCCTGCGCCTCCTCCTCCGCCTCCGTTTCAGCCTCCGCCTCCGCCTCCGCCTCCGCCTCCGTCTCCGCCTCCGTCTCCGCCTCCGCTCTCGCCACTGCCATTCTTGCCCCTGCCCCTGCCGCTGCCGATGCCGCTGTGCCATACCTCACGATTGTGGCTATCTCACGATTTCCCCGCTTCTCATCTCCCCTCACCGAATCCCGGCTTCGCCGACGCGGTTTACCCCTCGCCTGCCGCGTGCACATAAATCACGGGGTACGCGCCGACACCGATTGCATCTGACCAGCATCATCGTTCATGCGCGGCGTTGCCTTCTATTTTCAATTGTTTACTGATCACGATTATTCTTTTCCTGGAAAGGTTATTTCTTTTTGAGAAAACGAAACAAAACAACCGTTAGCAAGTGACTGGAAAGGAACACATGACCTTTTATTTTTTCATATTCGGAATATGATAGATAATTTTAAATAATAATATTTTTATATCATACCTTACAATAATTTATGGTAATTTAAGGTTCAAAATAGTAAATGATATTTAATTCACCAGTGAAAAACATTTGCCTTCGAGGTAACTTTAATAGGCTTGGGTGTTATTTGCCCCTGATTAATAAAATCTCTTCAAGTACATTACACCTTTCCATCCTGTACCAATATACCAACAAAATGAGAAGGTTTAAATGAAATATCTAAAAATCGGATGTATGCCCAAACGGAACAGAGTTTCCATTATAATTTGAATGAAAAATAATTTAATGAAATCTAATGAACTACATTACTAACCATTAAAATGCATAATTATTTATAAAGCAAATGAATGAGAACCGAGCTCGTTAGTGTGATATAACACGTACTATATTCTACACATTCCCCGTATAATTTACCAGATTTTAAAGTTAACTGCTTGAAAATTAAAAATTGACACAAATTATTTAATGTGCTGAATTTGAGTTAACACATCAATATTGACTAAAGAATGAAACTACTTGATATACAGCATCTCGTTGATAACTCCAACTTTCCTAACTAATGAACGAATTGTGATTCGATGTGGCTTTGGGATAGTAGAATTGTTTGAATGTAAAACACTTTATTTTTGTGGTGAAATAATCTGTTTTAGCACGTGCTTATTAATGTGGCACCCATAGTTTAAGCACACTTATTTCATATTCACAGAAAAATAATATTGTTGTTCACGATATGTGTTGTTCCGAAGAACATTGTGGTGGCAATTATCATACTACGAGGCTTGGTAATAGCGTTGCCGTTTGTCTTGTTATTCGTTTTGACCTTGTAACAGTTTCTAGCAGCATCTATAAACGTTTCCGGTGAAGGTTGGGCAACATTAGACTGATGGAGTGACGTCGAAGAGCAGAGACATAAACGTAAACGTAAAAATCATGTTAAGAAATACTATACTGTAATTAACTTCAAATTTTGTAAAATGTAAAATACTACATGTAATTGACTTGAAATTTTCATCATGAACTTCACGAAATATTTTGTAATGAAACTAAATTGAAAATATTCATCTTTCCTTCACAGTATGTTGAATTACCAACAAATGATATTAGTCTTTTCAGTCACAGGCATACGCATTTATTTGTATCTTTTTAGGTTGAAAATGGTTTTAGAGATTTGTAATTGCACGTGCGCGTGCACGTGCAATTACATTAATAAGGATTTTTCTGAATTTTCGATATTATCTTTGGGAAGGCAAAGTGAGTGTTGGGTTGCATTCTTTGAAAACAGACTGAACGACATCCACTCTTGGGGACTTTTCGCATGGCAATAATTATCTTGTAAATCTTACTCTAAAACTCATTAAGCTTACACATGCTTTAAGTATTAACTTTCGTTCCAAGTTACTATTTAGTGAATTTTTGGCAATTCTTTATAAGAACGAAAACTAGCAAAATAGGACGGTTTTGAAAGAACAATTATTTTACTTTTTATATTTTGATATGTTTTACTCTATTATCAAGCGTCTAGAAGTCTCCCAACGTATTCATACTACTCAGTGCCAGTGTTAAAGATGCTTTCTATTCGGTATAATATCTCTCTAAGAAATTTAGAATGCGTCTCATCTAAGACTACGTGACGAAGAACCGGAGTCGTAGATGCATGTTCTTTCATCTCTCTCGCGATAAGCGTAATGGGTGTATTCTTCTAGAACTTAATGGTTATTTAATCATCTGTGCAGGAGAACAAAGGATGGCACTGTTTCTTTTTCCCAGCGTCGATTTTCATCACGAAACATCTTCTAATTACACACTCTACTCCAGCGTACAGAATGCAAAGGTTGTTACAGTAGATCAGAGAAATTCTTCACTCCGTTATAAATAAGTAACATGCTACGGTGTTGCCCTAGGTACTTTGTTTCGTATAACTTCCTCATCAACCTTAGGGGACCATGTAAGCAAATGCTTAAATCTGAAACCTTCCGAGATTTAGAAACCTTCGTAAATTCGAAACCTTCCTAAATGTGCTGTTGCCGGAATTTCCTTTCTGGGAAAGATCATTAAGTGAGCATTTGATAAAATGCATTTTCAAGACCTAAACTGTCGAAAATATTTCTGCACCACGCTTTGCGAAAAATTGTTTACATTTTCTTTATCTCAATTATATTTTACAATGAGGTAGGAACTTGACATTACACAATTGTAAGAAAAATGATATGCTCTTTTATCTTTGTATTATATTCGTTTACCTTACGTCCGTCCAACCCGCGTGTCCGTCCGTCACTCACTGGAGGATAATTCTAGCGGCCAGCTTCTGGGATCGGTAGTTTTTCCATAGTTTCTCCGATCAACACCAGGAGAATGCTGGAGCAGTACTCTAACAAACGGGCCACGGACCACGCGCGATCTCTGATACCTCTTCCTTGTCCCAGCCTCTCCCCTTACACACACACGCACTATACAAGCACACATGCCGGGAGATCGGTCGTGAGCTTAGAGCTTGTCTCGGCTGGGGCGGTGTCCCGCTGGTGGGAGATACCTGGTTGGGAAAAACCTCGCTAGTCGACGGTAGGTCGGTGTCGGATCTCGTCATACAGCGAGCGAAAGATCACCTCCTTCTCCCGAGCAAAGGCATGCACGACACTTACGGGACTAATGACCCTGCTAGTTGACGTGCTCGGAATCACTAAAACAACCAATCAATTAATCCGTCACTCACGGTTAGATCCTTCCAGTCCTTGATTAATCCATCAATCGAGACAAGTGAGGTGTCACTCGACGCCAATAAAATTGAATAATTTTGCAAACGTCTGACACGTTAAAGAAAATGCTGTTTTATTTGAGTTTAAATGTAATTTGCATGTCCGATTCTATGTCACTCAGTGTGGCGTATTGCACAGGTGGTCAAAAGTTTGTGAACAGGCGGCGAAAAACATTATAGCCGCGAGCTGAGATAAAAGCGAGACGGTATCTTTTTCTGATAGTGAGTAAAATCAAACATTTGGGGCGAAATCGAGGTTTTGAATAGAATTTAAGGAAATGAAGTAGCACTCTTTATATTTCAAGTGAAAGAAAGCATGAAATTAAATATAAATGAATGACTTTGATAATGTACTACGTTATCAGTTGTGCAACTCGTTTCGAGCAAAAGGTCCCATCACCTTCCGTTGTCTCTGCGAACCATTGAAGAGTCAGACACCATTATTTGCACCCGGACGCCTCATTTGAAACGGTTCGATGCGTTGAATCCAATTGCATCCCGTGGGAGCGCACCTGTGATTCATGCTGCAGCGACAGCGGCGGCGCCGGCGCGCGGGGGCAGGGTGGAGGGAGTGGGGCGTGGCGGAGCACGCGGGCGGCCGGGCGGCCGAGGTGCCGGTGCAGAATCACCGGGAGCGGCCGCCATGCAGCACGCGCACGCAGCCGCCCAGGGCGGGCCGCGTGCCTCCGCCTCCGCCGCCGCTCACGCGTGCTCTTCTGTGCCCGCAGGTCGCCACCGGCGCGGCACGGCCAACGCCGGCGCGGGGGCGGGCGCCACCGCCGGCTCCTTCGCCACCAGCGGCGCCTACGGCAACGGATACGGTGAGTGCGCCTCCCGGCCACGTGGCCTGGGAAGGGGTGCCACAACACCCTCTACTGGCAGTCTTTTTTCTATTAACAGAGACAACACAGGTCACTTTGAACCTTTCTCGTACTATCAATGGGAGACAACTGCTCTCTGGCGAACCTAGTGACCCGGATCATTGGTGACAAATTCAAATTTCAATTCGTATACAATATCTTTTGAAGTGCTTTCAATAAACATACTATTTACATTATTATTATTATTATTATTATTATTATTATTACTTTACATTTATATGTTACACATCATGTTTTTAAAATGTAAATGCACAATACAACAAGCAATACCAAACCTTTTTCATAATTTAATATCTGGATTTAATTGGAGAAAGATACTATTACATAATAAAGCACTTACTCATCACAAAGGAATCGAACAATGATTACTTTAAATTTCATAATTTGTGCAACCAAATATAGCACCCACCTTCTCAACCATATAAAAAAGTTATTAACAACCAAACGAAAATATTTTAATCACTCTGAGAAACGTAAGTAAACACATTGGTTATTAAACTAAATATCTTTGAAACTTCTAAACATCGTACTTGTAAACACGATGGTTATGACAGATCGGAACATTAGGGGAGCCAGCTTCAAATGTCTCCTATTATATAACAGTGTCATGTATTGTCTCTATATTCCTTCCTATCAGTTTAAGCATATGCACAAATGGTACAGGAGTAAATTAAAAAGTTTTCCTTATTGTCGATGTTGGGATAACTCCCCAGTTTGTAAAAAGGTGACATTTTTTTTACAGCCAGTATGACTAATTTCAATTATGCATTTCCAAGTCAACGGCGAGACTTAGGTCTTCGGCCTTCGCGTTTAACATGAAATGATATTGCTTCTAGCCAAGTAAATTTCTAATGTCACGAACGCCGTAATACAGTCACGGCAAACGTGACTCGCTTCGCTGTACATTTTTCAAATTGCGTACTTTTAACTGATACCTAATGTATTACTAACATAAGTAGCTTACTTAAACATGCAAGTTTACCTTTTTTCGCATTACATTTCTCTTCAACCACCGACATCTACGTATCGCATTACACATGTGTTCCATGTGTTAAGTAAAGAAAAAGCACGGAGGTCTGTTCATTGGTCCATCTCCGAAACAAAATTGTTCTGCAAGGTAATTTCGAGTTTCGTTCCACATGAACTCAGACTTGAAGTCACTCCAACGCAACCGACAATTTTTGGATCCACGTATTCGCCACCACGAAGCAACACAATAAGTGTCTCAGTAATTTTCTCTGTTATCTCGAAGCTGCAGCTTCTCGAAGCTGCAGCGAACATGGGATCTAATTAGGAGGAAGTTGTCGCAGGGTTATTTTTTTCGCCGCTCATAAATCGTGCACTCGAACGAGACCGGTTGTTTGAACGTCTTCACGAGTAAAGAACATATTTTTCCCATTATTTTCTTACAACTCACAGCCTGGAAAAATTGCTCTTATTTTGTAAATAAATAGGTATTAAAACACATTGTTTTGAGAAAATTTGGAAATTGTTGGAGTAAAGTTTCTTGTAATATTATAGTATCTACATTAAATGCAATTTACGTCATTTTAACTTAGCACTTTATCTCCTAGTGCAAATTACCTTAAAGAAAACGATTCAAAGTGTGACTTGTGAGGAGTAACTTAGCGTGTATTCTCTCCCTCGCTCTCCCCCTCCCCCTCTCCCCCTCTCCCCCTCTCTTTATTTCTTTCTTTCTTTCTTTTTCCATGATTCGACATAGAACGCACAAAAATATTGTAAAATACCTACGTAACGCCGGGAATCGAATATGATTCAATCAATATTGCTATGAATAAGACTGCATCATAATTACTAAATTGTCAGTCATAATGCGCGTGTCTTCTCGGACGTATTCTTTCCCTTTATCTGTAACCAGACAAACATTTCTACCCGTCATTGGTGTCTGAGAATTGTTTGCGACAGTCTTAAAAAGACACGAATCGTGGGCCCGAATAACGTAATACGTACGAATTTAATTTGCAGCTAGTTCTTGATGTTTTGAAATATCTATATAGTGCCTAATCGGTTTTAATTGTAGGCACGTTAGGCTACCAAAACAGTTTCAGGGATAAGTTGGGAAGTTTTACTCGTGCATTTCCTTGTTGACGTCGAAGCTCCGCGATTTACATAAAAGAAAACCGCGTAGTTTGCTACCCTCTTTATGCTAAAATTCTTTTAGGACCAAGTTAACTCTCTATCACTGGCGCATTTCATTGTTGACAGCGATAATCCAGGTTTAATTCTCCACGAGACAACCCCGCATCACTAAATTTCAAACGCAATTATAAACAAAAAATTTGTTGCGTTTCAGAATCAAATCTAGGAACATATAAACATAAAGCTGTTGGAGGCAAACCAGTTGAACCACTACTTGTCTCTACAGAATCTGGATCGAGACAATTAAGACAACAGTAATCGTTCGATAGTGACGTCAGAAATGGTACACGGCGATAAACGAACCAATGACGGCCGTAATTTGCTTCAGATTGGAAATTATGCTAAGGAATGACCCGGTAGCCAAATGCTAATTGCCCTACGCAATCTTGTCAATATTTCTATTGTAGAAGGCTCTTTAGCTACGCGTATGTTTACGATGAAAGAGATGAGGTGTACGCAACAAATCCAAAATTATCTTTGAAAAGTTCATTAAACCACTCTTTTTACATGTCTTAATGAAAGATGTAAATGCGTTGAAACTATGTATTTACGATTATATCTTTAATTGAAGGTACGAGTTACTCTTGCAAAGCGCATCTACGAACTGTATTCTTTTATCAGCGTATCAGCAGTATCTGAAATACAATACGTTGCTGCGTCTCACATCCTCGTCAGCGACATATGCTTGAAGGTTTTTCCTGTTTACCCGTTTCACCTAATCTGCTGCCCCAATGTGACCAATGGACTGCTGCCGTTTCCCCACACACATTCCTCATTGATATTCTGAACTTTGGGGAAATTTCTCTTTGCCACGTCCTTGTTGACACAAGTTAATCCCCCTGTTTAAACATTTTCTTGAATGAGAAGGCTGTTTGATAATAACAACACACTGGGAATTTTGTATGCTTGTCTACAACCAATGCACCACTGAGATATCAAATAACATAATTAATATACGGATGTAATGTACTGTACTCGTAATATTCGAACCCAAAAATGGACCAATATGGAATATTAAAAGAAAATTATTAAACCAATTGAGTAAAATTTATTGAGTAGATCTAAATTTTAAAAAAAGTTGTATTCTGGAGGAAATTACTCAAGAAAATACGTTATTTTCGAGTGAAAGTAATTTTTCCATTCGTAACAATATTTTTAGTTAGCCTCTAGTAAATGAGATTCTTTCAAGGCATGTATAGAGTACCAAAAATTCAGATTTTGAACTAGTGATTAAAGTAAGCCGATGCTCAAGCCTCCAAATAAGTATGTGACTGCAACAAAGAAAATAGAATCAGCAAATATTGCCTTTTAAGTGATTAATATACTTTAATTGAATAAAATTGCATATATTAAATATACTTCAATTAAATAAATTGAAATTCAGTAAGGCTGTCTAAAGTAATATATTATGCAGCTAGTTTATAATGTTAAGCTTTATTGTGTTAGTACATGTTTTGAAATCGAGCGACGTTTAGAGGGAATTTCTAAATTTGTACGAGTACAATAAAGCAAAATTATAAACGAGTTACATGCGTTATGTTTTTTGTATAACATCATTATAAATGTATTAGAGAATCTACGTTAATTTTCGGAAACAACGTTTGTTGTGACGTCACAGATATTTGACAACTGTGCGAAAAAACGAAAATTTGGTTCACTGCTACCATTCCACGCTTCTCTTGCTGCTGGCTGAATGGCTGCTTGGTTGAATTTGTGATGACGCAATTATTCGTGCAATAAAAGGAAAATACGCCATAATCCGTGGCGTAAAATGTCCTTTTATGAACGATTTATTGGAACTAAAAAGATCGTTTGTAATGCTGGAATACAAAAGATAGTGTATGACACACACTATGTGTGATTTTATATTGCTGGTAAGATTGTGACTCTCGTCCTATCGGCTGTCTCGCAACATTTTCTATTTGCAAAATAAAATGCTACTTTTAGCAATTGTATCATGAATAACTGTTACATTTAAAACACTAACTGTTTCGTTTAGAAAGAAATTTAAACTTTCTAAAAGAAAATAAAAATAAAAATGATAAAGAAAAGAATCTACATTGTTTATAAAAATACGAATAGTTTCGTGTAATTTTTGCTTGAAATAAAGGCAATTTATAAAAAGACTCCAAGTTTCTGTTAATTTTTGCCCTCGGACAGAGCAAAGCACTCTTAAAAAACGAGGCATTTCATTGAACTCTGAAATTTCAAAAGTTACAAATTATGCGCGAAAGTGTGTGCTGTTTTATCACCACTCGTTTATGTTAGGACTGGACTTTCGTGGGGAATAATCTCACGAGGAACTAAGCGCTTTCGGATGACGATGCATCTATATGAGCTCAGTCATGAATCATAGCTCAAATTGCTTCCGAGCACCGCTTTGTGGCTGCGTTGAAACTTCTCGACTTGAGTCATTTCGAAGGGGTTTTCATACTAATCAGTTGTGTTGTGTTTGGTGAAGGAGTTAATGAGCCAGTAAATAACCTTTAATGGATTTTTAATTTTTTTCTTTCAAAGTCCAGGCGTTATACGTAGCAGCATCGTTCGTAAAAGACTAATGTTACTCGGTTTATACTAATGCTGCAATAGAAAAAATATCGTTTTATTGTGTTAGAGTTGTTTTTGATGGTCTCGATGTTGCCTCACAACATAAGTCATTTATGTCCTGATCAATTTGGTTGTAGATAAATAATTATAAAAGAAGGCAACAATATTTTATTGCATTTGTGACGTGTATGTGAAACAGTTTTTATCTGTTGACATTAAATATATACATCGTG